ATGTTGCCAAGAGACTCAACTTTTTTTTAAAGCCTAACAGAAAAAACAACTCTTACATAATGAACAGCTAGTTTTGTTGTTTATTTCTGAATGCTCCGCCCACCTGGGGTTGTACAATTGGTACCGTTATACCATATATTGTACTATAGTCTTTTTAATTTCATTCATTTCATAAGTCTTTCTCTTTTTTCATTAGGAGATGTTTTACCACTCTACCATTAGAGCTAGTCTTTTGAAATTATCTCTAATGAACCCCAGCAAAGCAGTCCAAATTATTTTATTTTAGTAATTGTGTGGTCACTAGTGTCTGGGACACAAATTGATACAGTCAAGATGTGTACTCTTGATTTTCTTGTCAAGAAAATTCGGTAATAATGCGGTGGGAAGGGTGGCTGGTCCTCCTCAAAGTATATAGTTGAAGAGAATATGCCTAATCAGAATAAAGAAAAGAAAATGAGTCCAAAGAATAAAAAGAATTTTTTTAAAACAATGCATAAACGTATTTCAGTTGAGCACTAACGGAGACGAACAATACATGAACTGAAGCAGATATAAAGCAATTATTTATCACTGAAAATATGAATTTAAGTGTAAGATAATGTTATTAGATACATACATATACACATACATACATACATACATACATGCCTGCACGCACGCACGCACACACACACATACATACATACATACATACATACATACATACATACATACATACATACATACATACATGCATGCATGCATGCATGCATGCATGCATGCATGCATGCATACATACATACATACATACATACATACATACATACATACATACATACATACATACATACATACATACATACATACATACATACATACATACATACATACATAACTTGGCATGAAATGGGGGTAGTAGAGTAACCAAGAGACCGCAAAAAGATGAGATGGAGTGTTCCACGGAATAACTTTTTATTTATTTATGTATTTCCTATAATTCTTTTAGATAAAAGATGATACACAATAAAAATACAAACACGCCTGTTTAGTCTACCCGATGTTCTTTTTGCTAAATTGTGCTCGTAAGGTTTTTGTATTAAAACAATAATCAGTTTATGTTCACAAAATTTAAAACTTTTTGTACGGGCTTAAAAATCAAATCATGTCATCTATACATAAACACAAATGTGCCTAATTGTTATATTGACATTAAAATCTAATCAGTACGTCTTCATCTGTATACAAAATTAATTTGCCGAGCTCATTTATATTTTGCTTAATCATGCAAAGAAAGTTTTGGTTCAAAATATTTAATATCCAAGTCCAAAACTTTTTTTATTTACAAAAACTGTTAAACAAATTTAAAGTTGATGAAAATGCTTGGTTTAAACAGATTGGTTTTTTGCACTAAATGACGAAAGTACAAAACTATTGGTTGGCTGGACCAAATCAAAGATGGCCCCTGTGCAGATAGTGGGAATTGGTAGAGTACACCACAAAATATTTAATAAATTGAATTAGTCAAGTGAAATCTGATATACTTGTTAACTGGGTATGTACGTAACCCACCGAACTACACTACCGTTTAGTTTGAGTTTTTCATAAATTGGTGTGTGTGTGTGTGTATGTGTGTGTGTGTGTGTGTGTGTGTGTGTGTGAGAGAGAGAGAGAGAGAGAGAGAGAGATAAAAATCCATATAAATCTGGTTTCTAAATATGAAATCATGTATTGCACTTGTCATAACTTGGAGAGATTACAAAATATGATGACAAATAGGCTGATAAAGCTATTCGTTGTTTTTAGATGAATCTGCTTCTGCAAATGGCAGACACGAACCCAAATGTTTATTGCATATCATTTTTCTATCAATGTATTGTTTCAAAAACGTGGAAGAAAATAACAAGAAACGGGTTTTTTTTTTTTGACAATCAAATTTTTATTGTTATATTACAGTAACAATAAACGTTAAAAAATAATAATCCGAATGAATAGCTGAACTTCATTCTGGCATTAAGGTTGTGTGTGTGTGTGTGTGTGTGTGTGAGAGAGAGAGAGAGAGAGAGAGAGAGAGAGAGAGAGAGAGAGAGAGAGAGAGAGAGAGATCAATATCCTCGAAAAAAAGAATATATATATATATATATATATATATATATATATATATATATATATATATATATATATATATATATATATATATATATATACATATATATATATATATATATATATATATAGATGCAATAAACTGACGACGAACAGTACGAAACTAGTAACTAACTAGCCTAAGCGCTTTCGACTCTTAATGAGTCTTTTTCAAAGGCAAATACAAAACATATATACGATAAACAAATAAACACAAAAACGTTGTGTTTGTAAACCTCTACATGGCTGTCTTCACATGTGCTAAAACTATAAATACAACCAGCTTGTATTGACTAGATGCGGAAACTGAAAACGTATAATGCCCTAAAAGTCTACAAGCCAAAGCGACATCTATTTTTACTTTTTGTACATATGTAACGAAGATTATATCCCGGATATTTGATTCCATACCGGTTATTCTTATAGTAAAAATTGAAGGATAATAAGAAGATTTAGAAAATGTTAAATTTTACTAGTGCATAGTTTTCATTTTCTAGTCTTCTTGGTTTAGACCGCTTGGTTTCAATGTTCTAAGGCAACGTATCCAGTATGATTCCTTTTCCTTCTTGGTTTCGGAACTCCAGCTGTGGTTGTTAGCAATAGCGATAAGTATTATATCACTGAAAGTGTGGCCAGGGGAGGAGAAGTGTTCTGCGACCGGGCTTCTGTACAGCTTTTTTGTCATCCAATCAGATCTATGAAGGTTTATCCTTTTGTGTAGCTTTTCAGTTTCTCCGACGTACTGAAGGCCACAGATCTTACATGTGATGAGATAAATCACATTCTCTGTTTTGCACGTTTTGTTTGGACCATGTATGTTTAGTTTTTCTTTAGTCACTGTGCTAGTGAATGTCTTGGTCTCTATCATATGTTGACAGGTTTTGCATCTTTTATCGCCACAGGGTCCAGATTGACTAGGTTGGTTTTGACTAGCGATTGGCGTTAGCTTTGCTCTGACTAGGATGTCCTTTAGGTTTTTTGGTCTCCGGTAAGCTACTACAGGTTTGTTCGGAAGTATTAGGTTTAGTATGTCTGACGATTGCACGGTTGGCCAGTGGTTTGCGATGATTTTACCTACTTTGGGATTGTCTGGGTGATAGGTCAGAATAAGTTTGGTGATCATAGCATTTACTGTTTTGGAATTGTTACCATCATTTTTCACATGCTTATTTAATCTCATAGAACATGTGTTGGTTCATCTGGAGTCCTTACTCCAAAGCTGGTGATATAGCTAAATAATTCAGAAAAGCATATATTGTTACAAGCCAGGGGTATTTGCTTGACCGAGTAGTGTCAAATCTGGAGCGATTCCGCTTTATGGCACAAGTTTACCCAAATTTCCAACAGACCATAGATCTCACAACTTTCCAATTGTATGTCAACCGCACATCTGCATATTTTCTATTCGTCAACTTTCCATACCGTCTCCATGTCACACTTAAAACTACACACCACAACTATCCCCTAACAAAGGGAATTATTTTTTTACTACGCCACTTTGGGCCAGTCGGATCATGGTTTCTGGCAACATTTCGCCAGGATAACAGCATTTCATGGTATCCAAAGAGTCCCTTCTTATTTTTTTTTTCAATTATGTAACTTACCAGTCTCCTACCATAAATACTGTCAATGCAGTCATATCACCAATTTACACTACTAGAGTTTAATAGGGACTATGAAACGACGGGGACACTCATGCGACTGTGACCCGAATCCACCAAAAGTAAACCATGGCATCATGGAAATTTACTAACACTTCACTCCGTGACGTTTATTCCTAGTAATTGGCTAATTATTTTGGGCTAAGGAATAATTCCACTGCACAGGGTTCCAAACAAGTAATCACAAAAGTCTAATAATTCCTTAAAACGGGGCGCAACAACAAAATGCTCAATTTTTTTTACAATATAATCAACTACATTGCTACCATTATGAGTTATGCATGTGAACCGATTGTTTTTATAATCAAATAGTCTTCCATTGATAATACGAATATTAACATTTCTACATAAATCTATTAACGATAAGCCAAAATTGTTATACACTATATCTTTTGAATGCCTCTGCATCGAAAAAATTTCTGCATCATAATCAACATTGCATCCATTTACAAAATCAAAAGTATCCTAAAATCTTCACAATTTATAATTCTAGCATTAAAATCTCCCGATAAGAATAGATAACAATTTCGATATTGGATTTGATCGTAAATAACTTCTCGCTTAATAATTCATTTTCATTTTCATTACTATTGTTGTATACTGGAGAATATTCAAGGGAAATATACGTGATTTGAGTATATCTTTATCAGTATGCAAAGCTGATGACTAAATAGCAGAACTACATAATTATTACACGTATAAAATACTTTTTTACATACACATAATCTTTCATTACGGCGTATTTGCGCACAAAAACGGTTACTCTTCCTCAATTCCTACCATTACCCACCTTTTTACAAACAAAACTATCAGAGATATAATCTTCAAGAAAATTTGTTAAATTCTGCTAATGTTTTACCCCACGTTTCATAAAAACCAATAACTTCAAATTTCTTACAATAATGAAGAAAATAATTTTAGTGTTCATACTTTGCTAAGCTTTATATATTCCACGAAAGAAAGTTTAAGTCAACATATATGTGATGGCTATTCTGTATAGCGTATGACACCCCCCCCCTCTCTCTCTCTCTCTCTCTCTCTCTCTCTCTCTCTCTCTCTCTCTCTCTCTCTCTCTCTCTCTCTCTCTCTCTCTGATTTTGGATTTCTAACTTGGCTTTAACAATCGCTACGATGTCTAGCACTGAGGCATCATGCCGCAGACATGTAGCACCAAGCAAGGCATCTGATAATACCATTGTTTAAAATAAGTTTTTGGTATAGCTTTGACGTGGTTCGAACCCGCGACCTCCCACATCTGAGGCGGACGCTCTAACCACTTAGGACATCTGAGCAGTTCAGCTCCCTTCTGTAGTTTATGTAGTATTTTAATAAGAATAATTAATACCGTAATTTCCACAAAATTTGCTTCTGTATAAGAATGTGAAGTGTCGTTGTCTTAAAGGAGACCAGAAATAAAACTTCCTTTTAGGCATGTAATTTTCTACAAATTTTAATTTGCCTGTAATGCTTATAAATTAAATTTCGTAGGTGGATAGTGATTATATTGCTCGGAAGATACCACGATTCCGTAAGTTGGCGAGTTTTTCCAAGTTTTCATGACAGGTCACGTGCTCCCTTTGACCCGATACTAGCCAGTCCTCTAATACAAGCAGAAATATGGCAAGCGAGACTGAGGGTACCAGATTTGAGTTGCACATTCAAAACTTAAATCTGCTCTCAAGATATGCTCATAACTATATGTTAAATTATGTGTTAACAATGTGTTTAAGACCTGAAAGCAGAAAAGTACAACAGTAAGAAGGTGCTCATATTTCATATTTTGGAATTTATAAAAGCAATGTAACTTTAAACTAAATACTTATACGCTGTGTGAGGTGCAAAAATGTGATAAGGATTAAGTAATGGTGACCAATGTAAAAATTAAAAATTTACCACAATGAAATAAATTCATTTAAGAAGGATGAGGTTCAATCGTATTATATGTAAATGACATTTATTACCTTCCCCAAAACACACACACACAGACACACACACACACACACACACACAGACTAATATCTTGAAAATATACATTCAACACTGAAACAATGACAGATAATACTGAATTATGGGCGAATTATATAGACTAGTTGTTGACACACACACCCTAATAAATCTGCAAAGCATGAGATCAAATTGATTTAAACATTAAGAAGCTTCCTTCTTATGGTTAAATTAGTGTATTTTACATGCAGGCTACATTTAGCGCATTGGCAAATCTGATAATATATACATGTCTAGTATAATAGTTAATGTACTGTAATGGTCAGCGCTCAAATATTTTTTTTTAATTTTTTTTTTTTATTTTTATTTTATATTTATAGGCACAGGTCTATGTCTGGTGACTTGAATAAACTCACAAGCCCTAACTGAAATTCCACTAGCCAGAACAGTTTATACCTGTGAACTCTCCAGCCGGGGAAGAGGGGGAGGACTCCTGTTTGCGGGATATTTCCACAGCTAGTAAAATCAACCGAGTTTTCGCAGAAAACTCCAGATTATTACATTATGTCTGTCAATTTAAATGTCTAAAAAATACCCACACACCCCAAAAAACCCATACACAAACTGAAAAAACGTATGAAATCCACACAAGCCATATTCTTTTTTTATCATTTGTGAATACTGCAGTGACGAAATCAATGCCGAATTTAGATATAACCTAAACAAGTTACGGTTTAGAGCCTCACAGGCTGAAGGACCTCTCAAATTTATTTTATACCAAATAAGGCCTCTACAGCTACATATATATATATATAGCTTAGGGTCTCGCTAGGTCTAAATTTAACAGGTGCTAGGGAAAACATACTAGCAAACACCTGGGTGGGATCCGAAACTCAGCAAGCCTATGCTGAACTATGAATCATACCATGACTTAATTTGTTTGTCTGTCCCGTACTGTGTGACAATCTGTTGGGGCTCTGTGGGCCTTGCTGGGGTGGTGGCTTTTCTTGTGCTCTTGTACTGCTGCTGGCTTGGGTGGTGTTCTTCCTGTGCAGGCTGTATGAATGTCAAGGTCTTAAGGTCTGAACAGTAGCGGTAAGGTCCAGCCCTGGGCCATGTGCCTCCCTGTGGACCCGGGCTGACGGCCAACCACATGGGGGTTTTGGGATCGTCTCACTCTTCGGGTGGGATCTCTAGTCCCTTTAGGGGCTTTAGCATTGAAAGTCGTCAGGCAAACGCCCATGCATATACGACTATAATCTCCAAATGAATGAATAGGTGTCTAAGTCGGAACTAGACGAAATAATATCACATGACACGTTTTTTCTTCAGTACATAGAATGTTAAGATTAAACATTATTCATGTAAATTTCAGATATTTTTAAAACCTCTTCAACAGTGCTATAGTAAAACAAATAGAAAATAAAAAATTACCAATTAGCTTAAATTGCATGAATGATCACCGTGAATCTGTAATTTTCTCTGTAAACAAAATTGCATCTCCATTTCCGCCAAAGAAACTCTGCCATTTAACACCTGACAAATCCTCTACCGTATACCTTAAGTCAAATTACATGATTAAATTAAAAGAAGACATAAGAAAAACATACCATGCAGTATACGTGCCGCCAAAGAACTAATTCAAAATAAATATTTTATTCAGTAAACGGTATTACATGCTTTAAGACTTAAACCTAAGGAAAAAAGGTGGGATATACAACGTGGGAAAAACATTTGTCCTATGTATGGTAACTTTGACTGCAGATTTGATCTATTACAGTTTAGTCCTAGGCATGGTAAGTTAAAGCGACATAGGACATCGTTTATTTGCCAATCATTTTCTGGGGCTTACATGCACACTGTCGAACATTGCTTCTTTGAAGTATGTCTGGAGTAGAGTCCCCTGCACAAGGAAAATGCCAGGATAAGGATTAACCATTAACTTGTCAAACTTGCTTTATTGCTTGTTTCAAGATCCCTCTCGTAACATTCTTTTGAGAAATGTAACGAGCACAGAGTGATGTATGGTGTCGTTCGAAATAAATTATCCATACTTTCTTTATGTCTTTATCTTTTGGAAAAAAATTATCCACGGCCTTTTTTTAATGTGCTATTACACCCGCAAGCAACGCAAAACGGCATTGTCTTTTATTCTGGCAACCGCCAGTTAGGATGCACAAGTCACTAACATGACGTCACATCAGGAAAGAACCGAAAAGGTGTGGAATTTTGCAATCGATGTCATGGATATTCAGCTCATTGAAGATATGCAAATATTTAAGTATTAGTGTTACTGACGCAGATACTTCAGAATAAGTTTTTTTTTCTATAGCGCTTTTATTATTATTCTATACTTCCACTGATTTATGGTCTCCATTAAAAAGTTGCGTTTTTTGCCGGTTTCACTTGCTCACTGCTCCAGTCACACACACACACACACACACACACACACACACACACACACACACACACATTTGTTGTCTCATGATGAGCTTGTCGGAAACTTTGCTCACCCTCTCGTCTAAATCAAGTAATATAATCATACAGTGCCTTCTTTTTGTCTCTGATACGCATGGGGAAATCATCGGATACCCCGAATCTATAGTTGCGCTTAAGAAATTCTCGTGCTTTATTTAGCACGTGTACTTTGTCCTTGTACTTGGGAACCTAACGATGACTGGGCTAGTTGAACTTATTTCACTGTTGCTGGAGAGGTTATTAACTTGCCTATACTCTCCTATCTCGTTGGCATATGAATTAGCTATATGGAGAGTGTCTTTAAGAAAATCGCGAATTTTTCATTTGATTAACATCTACGTTTCCTTACGGGACCATTTACTCCACGAAACAATAATTTGTTTCTGTGTGAATGTGATTCACTTTTAAAAAGTCTATTCTCAAGATTAACAACTTTATCAGACAAATCTCATTCTGTTCCCGAAGATCACTTGGCTTGGTCTGTATATTCGCACTAAGTTATAAATAATATTCAGAGATTTAAATTCCTCATGTATCTTTTAAAAAAAAAACAGTAGCAGCATCTATATGTGGATTAGGGAATGAACTGGTCACAGATTCGCCCAATGAGAAAGTAGATCAGCTTCTTGGGTCCCATTTCCGGGCCCTGGGTTGATCTCAACTGACCCTGAAACAATAAGCAGAACACTCAAGGCCAACATGCTTCTTTAAACTAACGTCAGTTTTCTTAACAGAGTTAAAATGTAAGCTCCCTTTCACCTTTGAAAAAGGTACGCTCACACAAACACGTTAAACACTTGAATTCAGGATGTTGCGCTCTTTGATTTAGTATTGCCAAGTCAGGCATTATGTTCCCTAAGTTCTTTTGTCATGGTCTTGTGTCATCTTTGGAAGTAAATCTTGCAGATGTTAACCTATTGCATTTACAAAGTATTTTTTTAAAACCTACTTCAAAACAATAGTAGTCGACGTAGAAGCTAATCAAAGTTCGAAATGTTTCGACGGACACGGTTGTAAATTATACTTAAGTAATAGAGGAAGATTATCTAACTCTTAAATTTATTGCAACAAACTGCATTTTCTCTGAAGAGCTATTTTTCCGACAAACGATCAACTAAAAGCAGATACAGAGCTACTGGACTATTTTTGTTATCAAAATGCGTGCATATCATATGTAAATTGTAAGCTTGAATGCGCTTAAAGTAAAACGAACAAAAGTCCATAGAAGTGCCTGACGATGTACTGTCCGAAAATGATTTTCAAGAATTGAAGATATAACTATTTTATTTGTTTTGTAAATTGCCTAGTGTTGAACCCGTCTCTGATATTCTTGAGTGAGTAATCACTAAAATATTTAAATTGGGCGCAAGATCGGCACCATTTTCATCCTGGACAAACTAGACACAATTAGAAGAATTTTGGTGAAATACCCATATTATTATGACCATCCATTCAATAAAATTATTGACGATTTTTTCCCCCCAAATGTTCATTGTATCAGACGTATACAAGGTTAAATCAGCACCGTTTTCATATAAGATCAACTAAATATTATAATTAGTCTCCTGGTTAACAAAACCTTCCAAACTCCCAAATACCCACCCCCAAAAATATAAAAAAAACCCACAAAACTAAGCTACACCCCCTATACCAATATGACTTACCAGTTAGAAGAAGTAGTAAAAAAAAAAATTTTCGAGATGTTTACCAGGGTGGCTACAACAGACATATTGGATATCAGATCAGCAAAATTTTGATTGAAGATGAATTAGACACCACGAGAATTCTTCTGGTGAAAAACCGATGCAGACATGACTTAATGTTTACGAGAAATATTACATTATGGCCACTGTGGCGATCATAATGGATGCCTGGGAGG